TATTATTGAAGTATTATTAATTCTTTATTAAAGCATTATTCGAGCACCTTCATTATTATTGTTATTATTATTATTATTATTATTATTATTATTATTATTTTATGTATTATTTATCAACCATACTAACATTGAAAATATGAATTATGTGAATAAAATTATCATAGAAAATAAACTTATAATTTATAAGATTATTTTTTAAAACAGCTGAATAAAATAGATAACACCTTTATTTAAAAAAAAAACCAGGTTTTGCATAGACGCAAGTTGATTTAATATATGCTGATTCATCTCATTAATTAAACAATTTTTATTCATTTCGAGCACTGTTATTATTATATTATTATTATTATTATTACTACTACTATTTTATTTTAAATTTTTGTTGTTTTATTTTTTGTTTTATGTATGGGCCTGGATATATGCTATGTATATATTTAATAATTAGAAATAAATATAATATAATTGTAAAACATATATAATATAATGTTAACAATATTATAGGCTAGGCTAGACCTAACCAATTATTGATACCATAGTCATAGATAAAAACATACATTTGATAATTAAACAGCAACTTTTCGAGTGGCAGTGCCGATAGAAAACTGCAGTGTTTTGGCACTGCGGCAGTGCCGATAGAAAATCGGAGCTTTTTTCGCACTGCGGCAATAATGCCGATAGAAAATAACAGCTTTTTCGCACTGTGGCAGTGCCGATAGAAAACAGCAGCTTTTTGGCACTGCGGCAGTGCCGATAGAAAACAGCAGCTTTTTGGCACTGCGGCAGTGCCGATAGAAAACAGCAGCTTTTTTTTGGCACTGATAGCACACGCACACCGATAGCCTCAGCCGAAAAAGGTGTACAAAAGATCAGGAAGCTATCAAATAAATAAATACAGTACTATTAGTTCTTGCAGTTAGTACGTCGTATCATGGAGAAAATAGTCGTATCATTGTTATTGTCAAAATTCTGCTTACAAGGTACAGAAAATGAGCTTAAAAATAATCTAACAAGGGGTTGGGAAAAGGAAATAATAAAGGCTGAATACCTACTGCCTTGGCTAGGCCTGTCCTAGAGCCTAGTTTTCTTCATAGGTTTCTGACCAGCTTGGTGAATAGCCGCTGCCGAAGGAAGTGGTTAGGCATAGGTAGTGCATAGTACTGTAATATTCCTAGGGCCTAGGTTAGACCCAGCCTAGAGGGTGGGTTTTGTAGATTATGTGTTGCTTGATGAGTCTAGGTCCTACGCCCTAGTTAGGTCTTGTCTAGGGGTGACAGACGATCGGGCCCATTTCCAAACAATGGGGACCAACTTACTTATTTAGGCCTAGCTAGCTAGGCCTACTACTGTGTAGCTAGCCTAGCATAGGCCTAGTGACAGTCAGCAAGTGTGGACTAGCGGGTCCACTTCCATTCCGATTCATTATTGCGTTCTAAATTTAATTAACATACAGGTATTATTAACATTTATAAATTAAAAATATTTATTTTATGTATTTCGGTATCATCATTATCAAACATCAACAAATATACAACAATGATCTAGGTCTTGGCCCAGGCCGGGCATTAGGAGGGTGACATACAATCAGGCCCATGAGATGCTAACTGTTTCGGTCGCGAAACCACCGTAATGTATTTAACATCCAGAAAGTAATTAAGGAAATTAAAGTTAAACTGTGTCTTGCTTTCGCTACAGCTTGTGTAAGAATATGGTTTTTGAGGTAAAATCGAACTTGTTTGCGGCGGAAACGGTCCTACACCCTTAGTAGCAGGATGGAGGGGGTGGCGTGGGGTGGCCTACTAGTAAGAGATCTAGACCCTATTATAATTATAATACCTTTGTTTTGTTTTTTAAGCTATTTAACTTCAGTGCATAGTACCACACTGTAAAGGAATGTATTTTATTTGCACAGGGATTCATCAAAAAACTTAAATAAAATTTGCCAGAAATTTGCATGGAAACTAGATGAGCAGATTTCTTAATTAGGGCATAGTCCATTATATTTATGCTGCATTCCAGTGCACCCTTGATCATGCCTTCACAAGTCGTAAAATGTGTTCCAGTGCTCAGCCAACCGGTAATCACAACTTGCCTGGTCGTGGTTTTGAAGCGGTACTTAAGATGAAGCTGTAAATAACTACGTCATATTTTAGCAATATAGAAGCCATTATACTACAAAACTGTAAACATGTATTTCATATAGGTTGAATTAATATTATGAAATGTGTATAATTCTTAAATTTAGTAAGAACAGTAGGAGTGAAAGGCTGTACATTATGAATTTATCGCGCATCTGAAGTTGGTGTATGTAAATGACAATAATTTTTGCATGTATTAGCATATTTTCATGTAGATTTGGAATGCAGTTCATGTTGTTATATTACCAATGTTGATGGGCTGTATTCATTTTGATCACAGGTGCACTGGAACGCAGCATAAAAGCCAACTGAGATAGGTATGACACAGCCCAACACGATTTGTTGACGCATTGGGTCTGTGTACTTGAGTTAAACACTAATGCAATAGTCCTGTGTCTGGGGCAGTCACATCATATAGAAAACTAGAATAATATTAAACACCACAACCTAAATTCTGTTCCTGTCGAGTAGCATCGTATGACTGTCTGAGTTGGACTTTTGACATACTGTAGCTCAAGGCCTAAATTTCTGCAAAATTTGCATGAAAATTAGTCCATATTTTTTAAATGCATGCACAGATTTCTAGGCCTACTGGCAATGCCGTAGCCATGATTTTCAAACCGTGGGACAATATCAATTCAAACAATTTGGAGCAATTTTCTTAAAAGTTTACCCAATTTACGCAAAAATATGAAAAATCTGGACCTAGTTTCTTAAAATTTTACCCATTTTAGGCTAAATATGAGAAAACTGGACCCATTTTTGAAAAAGTAGACCCAATTTATGTATAAAATTGCATAATTTGGACCCATTTAAAAAAAATGTGGACCCATTCTTTGTGGAACCATTAGCAAAAGTATGTGGGACTGTCCCAACTGTCCCAATAACTGGCTACAGCATTGATAAAGATAAATAAACAAACAAAATATATGAAAAACTTAAATAATAAATAGTAAAGAAAAGAACAGTGACAGAAAAACCGAACCGGGGGCGGTGCCAGTGGAGGGAGCTTAACCCACCTCTATTGTTCTGATCAGGCTTCCACATCGGCCAAAGCTCGTCAGGCAGTCCGACAAAAAAAAAAATAGACCTAGTTTTCCCATCCTAATACTGTACTGCATACGCCAAGCCAAATCTGTCTCAGCAATCGCTTCATCTGGGTCTGATCAGTCAAGCAGAACATAACAATGGTGAATCTCTATTAAAATGTTGTCGCTCTTTGCACACATATGTCTTTAGCGTGCAGATCGACGTCGTGACTTTATGCCATGATGTGTCCGTGTGCCATTTCCAGGCCATCCAGCCATAACCATAAAATTCTGTACCCAGGGTGTTGATGAGGTAGTGTGGGTCTTCCATCTGTATAAAATTCCCAATGGTCTGTGTGCATGTCTTTGGGTGTGTTGTATATTATCTGTCTCTTATACACATCTAGATGTGTATAAGAGACAGCATCTTGATCGATTAAACACAATAGTCTAGACCATATTCTATCATCTACTAGTTGTATGATCACTGAATCTAGCATTATGTATTACTGTTGAGACTCGATTTATTTCATTCAAGACCAAAATGTATTTTTTATTGGTTGCATTTATAGGGGAAGCCATGGTCGTGTACAGATTGATTTGTTTTGCCTTGATTTTCCAAGTAAGTAACGTTAACACTCAACCGAAATACTATCAAGCAATAGTCTAACATTGGTAGTATGCCATACAAATCATTAAGCTCTGTCCAGATTACCAAATTTTCTTTGACAAAAAAACTGTTGAATGCCCATATATAGTCATGATGTGCCCATATATGGTCATGATGTGATGTCATCATGACCAAATTTAGGCATGTCACATGTTTTTTTGTTTTTTTTTGGTAGTCTGGACAGGGCTTTAGATATTGCAAGGCACAAACACTAGTAGAAGTATACAGTATGAAGACTGGTAGCACAACAGACTAAACACTGTGGTAGCACGCCACAGCGCACTGTTGGCAAGTTAATAGCAAACTACAGCTTTTACACAGTATACTGTCAGCAAAGCCACAGTCTAGACACTTGTAGCATGCTACATTTTAACAATGGTAGCAAGCCACAGATTAACTGCCTTTGTTCCTCTGACTATAAAATGTCTTTTTGAAATTCCTCCAACCCCCAAATCTTATATGTATTCTATCAACAGTGGTGGCCTGGAGCAAGTAAAACTACTAAAATCTGGCTGGTGTCACATGGTTGCACACTTTTTCCAGCTCTAGGTTTGATACTCTGTGATGTTAAACGCCTATATTTTTAATCCATCAATCCATTACATCTACATAGTCTATCCTAACAATCAATTTTATCTCCTCCAGTCCATCAATTCATATACCGGTAATCCAATCCTTTTGTTTTTAATAGGTAGTGTATTCCGACTGTGAACATGGGTAAGCACTACACTTTCACAATAGTTGTATTTTTCATTTCAAGAAAAAAATCAGTCAGTGGTGATCATCTTCATATCAGTCAGTGGTGATCATCTTCATATCAGTCAGTGGTGATCATCTTCATAAGTCAGTGGTGATCTTCTTCATATCCTAGTGTTACGGGTTTATTCCCAGTGATTACCATTACTTCATGTGATAAAATAACTATATTTTTCTGTAATACCTTTATTCAAAATTATCCCAACTGTGATTTTACACAAATGCAATTTATTTTACTCTTCATTTCCTTGAAGCTGACCACTGCTTCTGGTCTTTGTATATTAAAAATTTCACTCTATGTGCTACTGTGAAGCTCAGTTTCCGTAGAATCGCTCACCCTATCGGAGACAGCCGCTGACAGTTGTCGAGAAGGTTGAACCTGGTTGAACTTTAACGATTGCGTTGCAGACGAATGCCTTCCCAATTGCATCAGAGCAGCCAGCAATGCACCCTGGTTTGTCTGCAACGCAATCAGCAAAGTTAAACCAGGTTAGGTTCAACTTTCCGCCAACTGTCGGTGACTGTTGCCGATAGGGTGAACAATTCTATGGAAACCAAGCTGAAGTCACATTGCAAATCTACTATTAACCTTTTGTCATTCTATATGTTTTTGTAGTCGCATTGCATCTCTCCTTGAATATTTTGTGTTAAGATTGTTACTATATATGCAATGTTAATGCATTAACATTGTCACTGTATGTGCAAACTGTACTAACATTGCAAATCTCCCTTACTAATTCTATTAAAATGTTGTCGCTCTTTGCACACATATGTCTTTAGCGTGCAGATCGACGTCGTGACTTTATGCCATGATGTGTCCGTGTGCCATTTCCAGGCCATCCAGCCATAACCATAAAATTCTGTACCCAGGGTGTTGATGAGGTAGTGTGGGTCTTCCATCTGTATAAAATTCCCAATGGTCTGTGTGCATGTCTTTGGGTGTGTTGTATATTATACTATTATATTGATTGCTCAATTTTGTAAAAACACTTTTAGTTGTTGACAGTAAGCATTGTGTTTTTTCTACAGTTCATATATATCCCGTATATCCAATACTCCGAAATGTTGTGTAAATTGCAAAACTTGGGTTTGGTATTATACGTACGAGGAGGATAGATGCTATGAGTTTCCGAATGTGTGCAAAAGTGATAGTGGACTTCTTGACAACCGAGCTGCTTACGATTCTGCTATAGATGTGCTTTCAGGTAACATTCGAAAGGTTAACATGTTTTGTAGTGTTTACTATGCTATTTTTTGTTTTTATTTATAGGATTAGGTTTAATAATTCTCTCCTTAATAACAGAGGAACACTCCTACAAGAGAGGTTCGACCCATACAAAACTTAATAATAAGTAAAAAACATACGCACAAATTACAATTATAGAAATACAGAATTTTATTTTCATGTGAATGACTATGGATTTACACATAGTTTAAGATTAGAGTAAGTTTTGATTTGAGATTAGGTTTCTTTCTCGCAAGTCCATTCTCTAAGTGTAACTTTTTGGCCTTTTCACTTGGTGTACCCGGTGTAAAGTTGTGGAACTTGCAAGTGAAATAAAATTATTGAATTGAAATTAATATTTTCAATTCAAAATATCATGTATTAAAAAAATAATGAATATTGAATCAACACAGAACAAATAATATACATTTACTAGACATAGTAAAACATTACATTAACTACTGTATGGGTGCTAATGTTTTTCATTAATTTGGTTCTATAAGACATGGCCTTAACAATTATTTATACAATGGTAGTCAAATATTTTACAAATGTGTGTATTTTGGTATATATCATAAAGAGTAAATGATATTTAAAGTAATAAAAAATCTACTATTAAAGGGGACCATTTAATAGGGGTTTGCCGTAGAGCTAAAAATATTTTCACTTTATTTGCATCCTTAAAATGTGTGGTATCTTAAACATGGGGTCTACTATATTTATTTTGTATTACTTTATTTAATAATAATTCTTTGCTTTATTGTAAATCATGATATTGTCATTATTAATTTGCAGATTTTTCTACAGCAAGCATCCAGTGTCCTAGCCAAGTTATTGTTTACAGTGATAAAGGCATGAATTCTACATCCGTTCTGTATAATATCACTAGCAAAGGCGACATCAAAGACGAATCATGTACCCACTCATCAGGGACAATCATGCAGATTGGAATACACCTTGTCATCTGCACAGCTAGAGATGGCTTCACGCAGAAAATACTTCACTGCAATTTTAATGTTTCTGTTATTGGTAGGTATAGTATTAGATACACTACAAGTCCAGTCTCGTAATTTATTTATTCATATATTCATTTATTTATTGGAGGTCTCCCTCCAATTAAAGACCACATTTTGGACCGGGGTTTTGATGGTCTCAACATTGGTCTTGAATTGAATAATAAAGATATAAGACATTGTTCATTTGGGATCACAGAAAAGGTGGTTTTTAATTTAGATAGTTTTTTGCACATATTACTGTAATCTTTATATACTTCTGTTGCTGTTGACATTGGTTTCAGAATCTATCGTACACAGTGTGAAATCTCCTCTGATACCTGTAAAACAGCAGCAGCCATGAGTCGTATGTGACTGCACAACGGCTAGAAATTTTAGGCATAAATTATTTTCACTTTATTTATAGCAGTACCACTTTGGAATTCACACCTGAACATTGTTCTTCTGTTGCTTCTTTAAAAAAACTGCTCTAGGATCATTTTTCTTTCACTATCAACATGCACAGCGTACTTCGGCCATTGAAAGGATAATTCAATTTTTATTACTGTATAAAGATATAAAGATGTAATGGACATTAATAACTGTTTCTTACTACATCAAATGCAATTTTTTGCTCATCTTTGTTTAATTCCACAGACAATGAAGATCCGAATATTGAATGTCCAAATGTCACTCTGTCAACTATTCCTGGTAAAAATTATACCAATGTCACCTATGAACCTTTTGTTTGGGATAATTCAGGAGAGACACTAGAGCCAAATTGTAATCTAACACAAGGCTCTGGACTCTTAATTGGACTTCACCCTGTGAGCTGTGATGTCAGTGACAGGTCGTGGAATAACAACAGCTGTTCTGGCAGTGTTTTTGTCCAAGGTAAATAAATTTGCTTTTTGAAAAAATGATATTATATTATATAATAGGCATAAAATATAAGTCCATTGAAAAAGTGTAAAGATAATCATACTGTTAAGATCCTGCATGTACTGCAGAAAGTGAGCCTGTGGCTAGTCTTCAGGAGTGCACTTGGTGATTTGAGGTGGAGAGTCAGCAATGAGTTCCAAGCTTACAGGTGGTTGAAAAAGCCTAATTTTACCAGTTATGGCTTTGTTGGATGATATACCAGAATAGAGCACTGAATGTAAAATAAATATCAAAAACCATCTAAATTAAAACCAGCTCAGTCATTTGCCTTTGTCAATGTAACTATAAAATTTAAGAAACCAGTCCGCACCACAGAAGAACAATAGAATATAGTCTGTCTCTTATACACATCTAGATGTGTATAAGAGACAGGTGTAACTGTTTCTTACTACATCAAATGCAATTTTTTGCTCATCTTTGTTTAACTCCACAGACAATGAAGATCCAAATATTGAATGTCCAAATGTCACTCTGTCAACTATTCCTGGTCAAAATTATACCAATGTCACCTATGAACCTGTTGTTTGGGATAATTCAGGAGAGATACTAGAGCCTAAGTGTAGTCTGGCACAAGGCTCTGGACTCTTCATTGGACTTCACCCTGTGAGCTGTGATATCAGTGACAGGTCGTGGAATAACAACAGCTGTTCTGGCAGTGTTTTTGTCCAAGGTAAATTTGCTTTTTGAAAAAATGATTTTATATTGTGTTCTACAGCATATTGTGGAAATTATAATAGGCATAAAATATATATAGTCCATTGAAAAAGTGTAAAGATAATCATACTGATAAGATCCTGCATGTACTGTAGAAAGTCAGCCTGTGGCTAGCCTTCAGGAGTGCACTTGGTGGTTTGAGGTGGAGAGTCAGCATTGAGTTCCAAGCTTACAGGTGGTTGAAAAAGCCTAATTTTACTAGTTATGGCTTTGTTGGATGATATACCAGAAAATCAGCAAGAAAATAGAGCACTGAATGTAAAATAAATTTCAAAAACCATCTAAATTAAATCCAGCTCAGTCATTTGCTTTTGTCAATATAACTATAAAACTAAAGAAACCAGTCCGCACCACAAAAGAACAATAGAATATAGTTAACAAGGAAAAACTGGAAGAACTAGAAAGAGGTGATAAAACAATTTTTGAAATATAAGTACATGATGGAATCTATAGTATAATATAAAAATTAATGTGTATTGTAGATATTAGAAATTATCGTCCCTTCTTACATTATGACAAGATATTTTAACAGTATTTTTAAATTCTTCATTTTGCTCTTTTAATATATGAACATCTTCAAACACTTTGTTAAGAGCTCTTGATTACATCAGATCTACATTTACTCATCTTTTTTTAACTCAACAGACAATGAGAGTCCTAAACTTGAATGTCCAAATGTTAATGTGTCAACTATTCCTGGTAAAAATTATACCAATGTCACCTATGAACCTGTTGTTTGGGATAATTCAGGAGAAACACTAGAGCCTAAGTGTAGCCTGGCACAAGGCTCTACACTGTCAATTGGGTCGCACTCCGTGATCTGTGATGTCAATGACAGGTCACAGAATAACAACAGCTGTTCTGGCAGTGTTTTTGTCCAAGGTAAATTTACTTTTTGAAAATAATTGCAGATATTTGAAATTACCTTCCCTTCTTACATTTATAAAAATATATTTTAACAATATTATTAAATTAATTTGTTTATTTTGCTCCTGAAAATATATGAACATCTTCAAACACTCTAATGTCAGGAGGTCTTGCTTACATCAGATCTACTTTTTACTTTTCTTGTTTAACTCAACAGACAATGAGATTCCAGATCTTGAATGTCCAAATGTTACTGTGTCAGCTATTCCTGGGAAACATTATGTCAATGTCACCTATAAAAATGTAGTTCGAGATAATTCAGGAGAGATATTGGAGCCTGAGTGTAGTCCGGCTCAAGGGTCTAGACTTGAAAATGGTCCTCACCTCGTGACCTGTCAAGTCAGTGACAGGTCGTTGAATGTCAACAATTGTTCCTTCAGTGTTCTTGTTCAAGGTATGGTATTTTTTCCCCAGCGGGTAGGGGGATTAATTCATTTCCCAATTACAATTACAAAAGTACAAACTAAAACATCTTAAGACAGCTTTAATGTATCAAACAATTATTTAGGTGCATTAAGCTTAGACCTTTTTTCCCAACCAGAACTTCACCCTGGACTTCGACTTGGACCCAGTGAACCCATTGGAAATAATTAGACTTCCTGTTGGACAACTCAATAAATTTATTTAGTCTAAACAAGGTGCTACTGTACTTATTTAATTAGTATTTCATGCTGTTGACTAAGCTGGCTCCAACTTTTATTGTCAGACAATGTTTCCCCCTGGAGGTAGATCATACTGTAGAAAAACCAGAAGAAAAGAATTGTATGTTAATAACGCAAGAGCTCTAACAACAAAATTATGTGTGATCTCTATTGTATTTATATTTTTTAAACATTTTTTCACAGAAAATAGTGGAGGTAAAAGTAAAAGTGAAAATAATAGGAGAGGTGAGTAATAATGGATTATATAAGCTAATTGCACAAAAACATTTTATGAGTAATAAAAATGAATAAAAGAATTTCATTTTCTTTCCAGAGATTTTTGTATTTTTGGTGTAACTGGCCAAAAAAAAAAACTCATGTTGTCATTATTGGCAGGTGAAGGGTTTGCAAGGTGTAACATAGTTCTGCCTTATCCAACAGCGAGTGATTCTATTGGATGTTTAGGGCGGAGTATTCAGTTGTGAGAAGAGAATTCTTAGTGTCACAGGCTTTGAACCTATTCCTCTAGTATTGGAGGACAAGAGTATCTATGTGAAGACCAGCTCAAGCATTCATTATAGTTTATGCTATATAATTTAAATTGTTAATATTGTTATTTAAAATATTTAATATTATTTAATAGTAATCCAGTATCCACTCTTTATTTATCATAGACCTGTACAAGTTACTATAAAAGCATCTAGTACTTTACTATTAATAACTTTCCTGTCATTTTATTGAAATATAAAACTATTCGTTATTTGTTCTTATAGATATTGCTTTAGGTATTCTGGTACCTGCCACTGTGTTTGTCACTGTGCTTGTCATTGCTTTTATATGTTATAACTGTCGCACTAAACACAATAAGAAGAGTCAACAAAAGCTTGCAGCTTCATATCACTCTTGTAAGTAATCTCGATATTTATGGTTCATGTCATTTATATTTACTACCCATAATTGACAAAATAATGCATGCTTGTATAACATTTATTTAGCCTTCAGTGTGGTGCTTATTCAAGACTGGCATTTATTACAAATTATTTTAGTATTAAAAATAGAACGACATGTTGTTCATAGGCCTATCTGATGTTGTACAATATCAGGGCCTTTGCCACTTACCCCATTACCTACCACTGCCCTGTTTTGTTTTTTTTTGAGAAAACATATGTAGCCCCTTTATCCTCTCTAAATGCATGTCTTCTCTAACCCATGGACCATTCATACTGACAGAGTGGAGTACATGATTACTGATACCAAAAGAGTTCAGCCTTCTCAAGAAAAACAATAGCTTTTGAAATGTATTTTTACACACTCTCGTTTATCAGACATTCACTCCTTGAAATTCTTTTAAAAATTTTTTTAACCTCTTTAGTGTTCTTCCTTTAAAAATTTACCATTCATTTATAAATGTGGTAATTTTTACACTGGTATTAACATTATTTGTTGTACCTCCACTCCAACCATGGCTGGCCTGAGGTGGTCTTCACCCTCCCTGCCCTTACTATTTCAAATTCCTTGATCTGCATAGTTGTATGTGGTACTCAATCTTACAGTACATTCAAAGTTAATAATAAGGCGGAGAGCACACATTCTTCCGGAATGCCAGTGTTCATACATACTTCATTTTCGAGATTCAATTTTACTACTAAATGAATCAAGTACTGTATGATGTGGCTCTAATGTCTATCCACAAGCTTGACTTCGGTTGTTTTATCCCCTTTTGTAGCTACTGACACGTGTCTTATAAACATGGACAAAGATTTGATTAAAAATAAAGGAGCTACCTTTGCTGATTTTAGCTTCGCTGATTTATTATCGAAAAAAGATGACTTAACAAAAGTAGACATTTCCTGGAAAGATAAGAATGGGCATACTACAAAGACAATTGAGAAAGGAGATTTTAGTGAGATCATGATAGTCACTGACTTGACTCCGAATGAAGTAGTTATATTTAAACTTACATACCATTCAAATGATGGCACCCAGGAACAAGATAGTTTACAGTTAAAAACACATAGTAAGTCCAATTCTTGTTTTCATGATTATGCTGATGTTGATGATTATGATGATTAGGATGATGATAATAATAGGTGATGATGTGTGATATTAATATAAATTTATGATTGTGTATTCCTAATATTGATTCATTCATTTTTATTTGTAGGAAATCTCAGTGAGATATTTGGTAAATGTGAATTTGTTGATATTACTTACAACTCAGTGAGAGTAAAGCTTCAGTACGCAAAAGAACACCTGACCTGCAATAATGTGTGGCTAGTTCTCAAAGGAGTTAAATGTAATGAACCGGACAAACCCTGCAGTAAATACAATACTGGTGACCACTATTCTGAACAGAAGATAGATGCCAGTAGTGGGATTACAGAGAACACCTTTAATGACCTGATACCAGGACACCAATATCAGGTTTTTGTGGAGTTTAGAACACAAAAACTACTAGTTACAGTAAAGGACCCATATGATCTTGGCCGTGTTGAAACAAAAAGTTAGTATAATATTGTAGCAACAGTGGTTTATATGTAGTTTTTAATATTGCAAAAAAATATATATAATCAAAGGTCTCTATATGGATTGTCATTATTTTTATTGCTAGTTGTTGTTTGCTGCTATTAATTTTATTCTATTACAGCATATTTATTTCTTTTATTATTCAATTAAGCCTGACAAAAAGTTAAGTTGTCAGACAGTTTCTTGCTATTTTAATTCGTACTTGTTTTCTGGGTGTTATTTTTTAGTTGTTTCCATAAAAGATTCAGAAGATGGATCGAGTAAGGTAACTGTTGTCTTCAACGAGTTGGAACCTGATTGTAAACTAATAGCGGTTATGTGCTGTGGCACATCAACAACCACTGACAATTGCATATTAACAATTGAAAACTTGCAACAGTCTACATCATATACATTGACATATGGTGCAATTTGCAACGGAAAGCCTTTTTATCATGGACAGCGCACTATATTTACAACATCTGAAGAAAGTAAGTACTGTACTCAATATGATACTATATTATATACCGCATACATAGATTCTAGGTATATGATTGGTTAAGAAGCGGATAATAGAAAGTACTATTATCTTATAGGATAGTACTTTTTTGCCCTGCCGCGCAATGTGCAATCTCTAGGCCGGGTTGCTACAGTATGTAATTTATGAGGGGCACCTACAGTAAAGGATATGCGAGAGAGATTTGCCCTTTGATCGTCTAGGCCTAGGAAGTAATTGCCAGGGGTGGATCCAAACGGGGAAAATTTACCTCCCCCCACCCCCATTTTGCAGCTACATTTTTAAAAATTTCAATGCATTAAAAAAACAACAAAAAAAACCAATACATATACAAAATAAATACACAAAATGTCTCATCAATCTAGAACTAAGCGCTGAAAAGTAATTTCTTTGTCAGGAAAGTGTCAGGTTAGTAATTTTAAACACATTTATATACATCCTAGATTTATCATACATATTCCATATCTGATAGGTCTTCACTCTAGTGTTTATAAATTCTAGGAATATTGTACCTGTATAATCAGATTATTATTTACATCATCATAGTTATTATTAGCATTATCACCACCACCACTGTCAACATAATCATCATAATAATATGATGTCATCGTGATATTCATCATCATCATCATCATTGATTTATTATATTGTTCTTATTCATATACAGTATTTTCAAAGAGAAATAATTCTGTATTTTAGTTATCATGATCATGTAAATATTAATGTTACAGTCGATGAGCAGTTGCCAGATGATCACCCAGAAGCAAGTACATTGCGGATAATAATAAGCCACTTGCTTATGAAATCTGTAGATTTAGTTGTAATAAAGTACCAGAATGCAATATTAAAGAGAAAATCATTAAATCTAGAACGCCAAATGTTTCCTATGATTTTCCTGCGAGGGTTTACAAAGATAGAAGTAGAAAATGTGGTACGTACGAACGCTTCTGCAAGATGGATTGGTTAGAGAAATTCCCCTTTCTGGCATATTGGACTTCACTGTCTTGCCTGCATACTCTTTCCATGCGATGGTCAAGCAAAGCTGCTTATTGACATTCCCTATAGATGCTCTCAGTGATGTTTTGAAACATCGCGATACCAATTATCATATAAAGTCGGAAGGATTATTCAGCTTCTTTCTTGATGTTTTGAACAAAAAACAGCCAGTAATTCATGAAGCTCTCGATCTGGAAATGAAGAAACGGATAAGTGAAAATGTTCTTCTATCATCAAGTGCCTGATCCTGTGTGGACAACAAGGGGTTGTGCTTCGTCATCATTGGGATGATGGAAAGAACTTAATTACCAACGAAAATCAAGGTAATTTCAAGGCCCTCTTGAATCTTAGAATAGAGTCAGTTGATGATGTATTAAGTCATCATTTACAAACGTGTCACAGAAATGCCACTTATATTTCGAAAACTTTTCAAAATGATATCATATGCTGGAATGTATTTTGGAATACCGGTACATTTAAATGAAGATTACAAATGACATAGGACGATCTGTCTTCTTTGGAATTGAAGCTGATGAATTAACAGATGTTTCCAATTTGGAACAACTTAGCGTGATATTTCGTCAAAGACAACAAGGTATAGGAGAAACTAATCAAGTTTAATGACTAAAAACGTAACAGGCCAAGCAATTTGTGACAAAATTGTGGAATTGCTTTGCAAGTTGGATAATTGGAGCAGGGAATATGGCCGGGCATTTGAGGAGCCCCTTATTTTCCTTCCACTAGCCACCAACTAAACCTGGCACTCTGCAAAGCATGCAACATACCAGAAGTACACTGTATAATTTTAGACATTCAAAAAGCAGCTATTTTTCTCAAATACTCCCCAAAGAGACAGAGGCATTTTGAAGAAAGTATTGAGAAGGCAATTGAAGGTAACAGTAAGAAAAAACTGAAAGTTCTGTGTGGAATTTTGACAAATATTACGTCGTCAAAATTTATTGCAGCCTTTCACGTGGCCTTATTTTGTTCTGGATATCTTAAGGCTTTGAGCACGCTTCTTCAATGTTTGGCATTGGATATTGTGACAACTTATGAAGAGATTTCTTTGATAAGAGACGAGTTTGCTGATATTAGAAAGAATGCAGAGAGAGAATTTAAAGAGATGTTTGAAAAGATGGAATGTATGAACACACTAACAGGGGAGAGCATTGGCATACCAAGAAGATGTTGTCACCTAACGCTACGTAGTAATGTAGATGCAGATAGCCCATTGGAATATTGGAGGTCTGCAATATTCGTACCTTTCATTGACCATCTGTTGAATGTGCTTAGTGAAAAGTTTTTTGAACATGCGTCTACAGCCATGTATTTGGGCTACTTCCACTCAATCTTACGAAACTAGATATAAACTTACAAAAGATCTATGGGCACTACCAAAATGACCTTCCATCTCCTAGTTTTATGCAAAGCGCTCAAAGCATGGACTAGGAATTCAATAAATGACTGTCTTGTCACCTAAAGGTCCCTTCGTGTCTATCCGGTACCAGCAAATCTCATCATCCACCACCACGAGCTGCCTGTACCAGTTCACCAAGGGGGGGAATCCCCTACTCCAGTCTCGAAGGACTTTATAGTGCACACGAGCCATTGTGTACACTGGCCTCATTTTATAGTCCTTATCTAAGAAGAGTTGTTCTACCACCAGAAGCATAGGTGAGCGTGCCGTTCGAACCAGCGCCAATATTATAGCTGTAAAGTAGGTTGCGGCATCCTTGCTAACCGCTCGGCCATTCAACTCGCCTTCTAAAATTTGCTAGATTCTGTAGTATAAATCTAAAATTAAATCTTAAATCTTCAGGTTTTTTTACCAGTAATAATTATTGAAAAATGTACTGAATATAAAATCATATTAATTTTGTTACCAGAAATAACAGTTATTTATGAAATTCTAAAAGGGGATCTTAAGCTTTTACATTTATACCATTATATCGGTCCTACCAAGCCTGGCTACTGTTCTGTATGTAAATTGTATCTACTCATTGATGGACCAGAATGTTATTAGTTTATCTTAAAGGTCTGTGTTTGTACAGATGGATTAATAAAAAGCTTATAAAAATTTTCATCAATTTTTTTTTGTATTAATTAGTGATAACAATGATGATAATAATATTGATAGCAATAACAATAATAAGTAGGCCTGTATTGGTATTATATTTTGTTTAAATCACGTTATATTTTGTTGAAATCTCGTACATCAACTTCGTGCTAACATGCATGAGTAAGAATACATTTAAATACGCCCGAACGTGAAAGTAGGCATTTAGAGTATGTGTAAAAACGCTTCGCCTCGTACCCTTACTGGGAACCCTACACTACTACAAGCGCTACCCACTTAACTATTCAGAAAATCTTTTTCCACCCGTTTCAAAAAATTATGGATCCGCCCCAGATTACCTAGGCCTAATTGGTGTGTACTATTTTCATTACTTTTTGAAGTCTTGTAGTTAATCTATGTTTGAGGTATATAAAACAAATATTACTTGCTCTAGATTCGGGGAACGGTGAAATCTATAGCCACTTGGTGATGTGGCGACCTCATGGGCAATTGATTTCATCAATTGTCCATTGCAGTCAATATTTGTATACTATACCACCTCCAGTCAGTGCTGGGCTTAAGTGTGGGTGCAGTAGCTAGGCAAATTTCCAGGGGAAGGGGTTGAAGCTATTATTATGTGCAAGTCAATAACCTGTCACATAAACCAATAAATAGGAGAGATAAATAAAATATATGAAGTTGATGTGTCAATGTCAATAGTTTATAAATTTGTTATAAAGTGTGTTTTGTTTTTTAGCTAAACAGCGTCCAGGTAAATGTGAAGAAAACATATTAGACGTATTTGACAGATGTTCAGATGATGCGGATACCTTGATAACAGGAATGAGGAAAATAGAATTGTTTGTAGAGCGATTGGCTAAAGCCCTGAAGTTCGATAAATCAGTTGCTGATCTAAAACATGACTCAAGATTATACAATTACAAGACTATATTTCAAGGCTTGATCCAAAACAGGAGAACATATTGTTTAGATATGAATGTTGACAAGTTTTTGGAACTGTTTATAGCGGAGAATCAGCAGCAGAATGGGTATGTGATGGGCGATGAGTCTGAGCCTCTCCTCACAGCAGACAAGGAAAATCTTAATAGATTTTACCAACTTATTGAAAAAACACATAAGTGTGATTATTGTCAACAATTGTACTTCCATTCAAAGATACATGATGATACTTACATTGAAAATCAATTAAAATGTCATCAAGAATCAATGTAATTATGTATCAATTATGGATTTGTAATATTTTGTATTATATTAATGTGTTAATTGCTATAAATATGAAAAATATTTTAACAAATTTGTTTTCATTTTAATTGTAGATATTAACCAATACATTTGTTACCCAGTCAGCAGCAGGCTGACTGGGTTCAGTTTCTGAGCATTTTCTTACCCAGTCAGCAGCAGGCTGACTCGGTTCTTTCTGAGCAGTTTCTTCTTTCTTTCTGGCAACATTTTAAAAGGCTACTTTGTGGCAAACTACTGGACCGATTTTATTAAAAGTTGGTCAATAGGACCGGTGCCACCTCCCATTTATAGGGTGTTCACAACATAGTTACCAATCTGAGAAATTTGAAATGTGTGAGTGACTATACCAGTTGGCTTGGGGGATCCAAGCAGCAGGGGAATAACCCCCCCCCCCCTCCATAACATAGCACAGTCTTGTCCTGGCTACATTAGGACATTGTAAATATGTTCTAATATGCTCTTAATGTCAATCAAGGTCAAAGGTCAAAATTCACAAGGGTCATTAAGGTGAAAATTATCATAGTGACAAAAAAATTGGACCGATTGCATTAGACTCCTAAGAAATGGGTATTCACAGTTTGAGGTCAGAGGTCACAGGGGTCATCTGGGTCAAATCCTGAAAAATGACTGGGTTCATGTTCTATTGAACATAGTATCTCTAGTTTCTATTTATTTTGTACATACATTTTTTATATTATATCATTATTTAATATTATTAATGGCATTAATATGATTATTATATGATAAATGCAGTTAACATTGTCCTAAGTAGTGTGCTATTGTAGAATTTGTATTTGCCTTAGTGTAAAAGTACTACAGTACATTATTATATAATAATATATGCAGTTGATAATATATTAATATGATTTTAATGTTTATAGTAATAATAATGATACATCAATTTTCTTTTAAAATGTCTGTGTTTGTCATTCTACCTTTGGTAATAAAAGTATTAGTATATATTTCTGTGATATTTTTTGTATTAGACATTTGATTTGTTGCATCATTTTCAAGATTGTGGTTGTCGTGACAGCTTAACTGCTTAATTTTAGTATTTTTGGTATGCTTCTCTCAATGGCGTAGGCTGGTTTCGGCCAGGGGGCGTGAAAACTGAACCCAAATTCGAATGGAACCTCAATGATCATTTAAACTTATATCACACATTTAGCGGAACTAATTTGCGGCCGACGGGGCTGTATCTACACATCTGCACCCATAGGCTGGTTTCAGCCAGGTAGTGCAAAAATTGAATTCAAACGAAACCTCAATAGTCCTTCAAATTTTTATAATCCACTTTAGCGGAACTAATTTAGTGCCATTAGTGATATATCCACACATCTACACCCATAGTATATGTGCATGTAATTGACTGCAGTACCTGATAAAGAAAATAACTGAACTTCGTAAAGAATGGATGTACAAGAACTAACTAACACAAAGCAGAGCATGTTTTTCCTAGATTACATGCATATTTGGATATGTGAATTGATGCATGCTTGTCTTAAATAACCGAAGCCCTTGATATGTAACTTGTGTGTACAGTGCACCCTCCAATTCGAGACCACATTTTCAAAAGAACCAGGTAACAATCTTCAATCTTTTAACACAAACCTTCTATGTGGAGACCAAAGCCGGAGACCAAACCCCGAGACCACCCCACATTTTCAGGTCTCGAATTGGAGGGAAAGCTGCATTTGTGTGAGTGTGCATGGACACAAAACAAGATACAGTAATGCTAGGAATGTTGCAATGGCATTTACAACTCAAAATATTTTATTAAAATTAAATATAAATAGAAAGGTGTCTCAGAATATACAACAATAATATTGCATTACTTTTGATATGCATAGCATACTGACAGAACTGACTGAAATATAGGACCCCTCAGGTCCTCAGAAAACGGGTATACATACAC